GAAGAAGAGGATGAAATTTTAGAGATTAAAACCAACAAAAACTAAAAAAAAGAAAGGTATAATCTGCTGTATTTTTTTGGGTTGTTTTGTTCTTTTTTTTAACCAATACGTGAGGAAGAAGATGATGATTTGTCACTTTTAAATTTTGGTTCTCTAATTTATGAGATTTATGCAATTGGATTCCTAATTAAAGATAAAATTGACAAAATTTTAATGTTTTAGTTAGTTTTGGTCTTCACTCATTTTTACGAGTTATCTTTGAGTATTTTGGTCGGAGATACTTAGAATTTGTATATATAATTATCCATGATTTGTGTTTCAAGTTTTACCATTTTTTAAGTCCATTTACTATTTAAACTAAATTCTTTTATGAGAGAGAGAGAGAGAGAGGATGCAATTTGGCCTTCAAACAATAGATCTCCACTTATAGGATTTGTTGGAATTTTTTACTCATAATAAGATAATTTTAAATCTTATTTATCATAATAATAAGATAGTTTATAGGTTTTCCCACTTCATTAAGAGATTTGAGTTTGTCTTGGATTCGTATATTAGTCTGTTATCTAGGATTGCTTTATTGAAAATCCAAAATAAAGGAGACATAGTCTGACATAATCGTCATCCTCTCTAGCATAGATGAGTAGTTTGAAGAGAAGATACTATAAACTAGTACATGACCATGGAATCTAATTTATTACATGTAGTGATTACACTAATTATTTATCTAATCAACAACACTAATCACGAATTGCTAGAAAAGCTTGTGACTGCTTTTCGCAGCGGAAACCACCAGCCTTAGAGTCATCTGCTGACCAAACGAAAATCCCATGGAGTTGCTTCTGACCCTTAAGCTTACTGCAGGCTGTAAAGAAGCCGCCTGACGCAGACTAGCCTCCGCTTCCATCCATGATAAAGCTCACCAAGGCTTTACCACCATTAAAATTGGAACTCTGGGTTTTGAAGTAATTCAGAAACTGGGATACTGAGGTACCCTGATCATATGCATAAAATTGGAAGTTGACAGGTCTGATGCCCATATTTCCTCCACAAGGCCAAGTAATGGCTCTGAACTTGATCGTCATCAAAAGGAGCTATAGAGGCAAATGAGATGACCCTATTCCTCTTAAGGGTTGTAATCGATCAGTTGTCCTATGCACTCTGCAAATGTATCAGGATCAGCTTAGAAGTGCTCGTAATAAATATCAATCCCATCCAGATTATACAGCTCAATGATCCGTGTGAGTGAAGAAATGGCATTAAGATTCAATCCCTTCAACAATTTTTTTTTTTTCAGATTTTGGTAAGAACTACCACCTTCTTTGATATATTCATAACCATTTCCTCGAGATCCAAAGCCCTTGCTTTCAACTTTTCATTACTCAGAAGAAGATTCACGCTGTTCTTGAATTTTCCCCTTAGAACTATCCCATTCTCATCCTTCTTAAGTCCCAATCCGGTCTTCCATATATCAAAAATGTAGATTTGCTTATAGAGTTGGTCAGCAAAATAAGGCCAGCATAATATAGCTAGGTACCCCATTGGAGGCACCTTCAATGGTAGATCTCCATCCACAATGACTTAAAAATCAAGCAATTGAAGGATGAGCCAAACTGTCGAGGTGCCCAAGTAAATACCTTACCTTGAGTGCCTATTTTGACTTGAAATTCTTGAAAAAAAGGCATCACTTGTCCCATTGGTTACATCCGGCCTTGCAACCCATAAGAATGATCTATTGGTATCTTCCAATCCCAGAGCCAATTCCTGAAATTGGGTTGGGGGTACAAACAGCTGAACTTCCGAAAGCGATAATATTAAAGATACATTTATTGTATTTCCAACAGTATATCCAGCTACACAAGTTTAATATACAGTTATTTATAGTTTGGTAGACATGTATATAGTTAGGTGAGAAGTAGAGAATTGAAGCTTATAATGTATAAATACTATAAGTATTTTTGGACAGAAACATTATTGACTATAGTGGAATAACTTTCCCAAATTGATTTCTTCTCTTAACTTGGTATCATAGCCCTAATTTTTTTCTCTTCTTCCTCAACGAAAATTGCTTGTATCAACTAAATCTTTTTTTATTCTTTTCTTCCTTTGTGCAAATTTGTTCTTGAAATCAAGATTCATGGCGAATTAAGTTGATATTTCGAGTTCCTCTCAAGCTCTTGTTGTTTTTGTTCGCAATATCAACGATCCTCCGTATTTGCATCCTTTAGATATGCCAAATTTGATACTTTCTATGTATCTACTTAGAGGTGAAGATGATTATAGCTCTTGAAGTAAAGCAATGTTGAATTCTTTGGAGCTAAGAGCAAGGATGGTTTTGTTACTAGAAAATGTTCTAAGCCAAGGATTGATTCTCCGGATTATAAGCATTGGAAGAAATGCAATGCTTTTAGTTCATGATTCACTATTGAATTTAGTCTCTTCATAGTTGTTCAATAGATTAGTTTACTATCAATATCCGGATGAAATATGGAAAGACTTGAAAGAGAGATTTGACAAACAACATGGAGCAAAATTTTTTGTCTTGCACAAAGAAATTAATCTGCTAGTTCAAGGTTACGAGAGTGTAGCAAGTATACTACTTTAAACTAAGATAGCTTTGGGATCAATATGACTCGTTAATTCCTACACTCACCTATGTGTGTCCAAGTCATAGGAGTGACATTACTCAACCATTTATTGAATATACATAGCAACACAAAATGATGCAATTTCGATGGGTTTAAATGACCAATATCGAGTCGTGAGGTCACAAATCTTGTTAATGAATTCTATGCCTACTCACAAGCTTACTTGATGATCTCTAATGAAGAATCACAAAGGAGAATTACTCCACATCAAGAGGTTCCTACTGCATTTTAGTATGCTAAACAAGGGAATCATTATCAAACAAGGCAATTCTCCGACATAGGATCTTGACACAAGGATGTGAGTTGTGATTATTCTCACATTTTAGGTCATAACAAGGATAATTGTTACAAACTACATAGATATCCAACTACATGCAAATTTTTTTAGGAATAATAGAGGAAGAAGAGATGGCAATACCTCTAAATTTGATGGAGATAGGCGGAGACTATATAATGCACATAATGCCAAATATATGGGACGAGGATGTCGTACGGTCTCATCATCTTTTTAAAGGACAAATAGCTAATATGGCAAAACAACATTCTAGTAAACAAGGGAATCATTATCAAATAAGGCAATTCTTTGACATAGGATCTTGAAGCTAGGATGTGAGTTATGATTATTCTCACATTTCAAGTCATAACAAGGATAATTGTTACAAACTACATGGATATCCAACTACGTAAAAAATTCTTCGGGAATAATAGAGGAAGATGAGGTGGCAATACCTCTAAATTTGGTGGAGATAGGCAGAGACTGTATAATGCACATAATGCCGGATATATGGGACAAGATGCTGTACAATCTTATCATCTTTCTGAAGGAAAAATTGCTAATATGGTAGAACAACATTCTGGTTCATAATCAGCAAACATGATGGCCTCTTATCTTCTTGTGTTTTCTCACTCTTAATATCAACAAATATTGAAGCTATTATCAAAAAATGCATCTTTAGAAAGGATTGTTTCTCACATTGAACCAGCTGCAAACATGTAATGTGAGTTTCTTTTTTATTATTATTATACTTGTCATTCTTGTTTATGTTTTTTGCTAATATATGCAAGGATTTTACTCTTGAGTAATGTGATTGCATTTATCTCAAAGGCTTGTGAAATTCAAGAACAGACAACCAGGAAGTCATTCAAGGATGTATATGCTTATGCTTCAAGGCTTGTGCCTAAATGGTATGCAAATGAAAAAGATATCATCAAGAATCTGTGCTGCCGTTAAGGTTGTGGTACCATATTTACCAATCAAAACAACGGTGCCATTACCAAGCAAATCTCACTTTTACAAGTCCGTCCTTCTTTTTATTTAGGGTATAATAATTAAAAAAAAATGTTGTTCCCAAGTTTAATTTATATGCACAAAGTCGTTCTATGTTTTGTGGTTGTCTTGAACCGCAGAAAAGACTCTTTCTAAGAATTCTGTTTTGTTTTAGAAGCTACACTGAATTTTGAGAGCTTAAACGTAAACAATTATACTTGTTTATATTTTCCGAATCTGTTCTGAATGAATTATCGACCACCCAATCCAACCACAGTAAATTAAGCCCATGAAACTACACAAAACTCCTAATTAACGGACATAGTGGTAGGTGTAGATCACCACAAGCCGAAGGCCTATCTCTACTTAAGCTGGGTCTATAACCTTAAAATATGGTCTTAATCTAACCCATCAAATTTGGGTTTTTTTCTTTCTTTTTTTTTTTTTTTTTGGATACTAATACTAAACTGACCGAAGGCAGAGGCCATAACTGCAAAAGCATTGGAAGGCGAGCTCTTACGGTTGGCCATAGTACAGTCTACAGTCCATTAGGTGCAATTATTTAAGTAGAAAGCAAAATAATGCAGAATAGATGGCAAAGGCGAGCTCTTACAACTGGCCATAATACTAAAATCTATCTCAACTTCGTAACCTTGATATATAAAACGAAGTGAGGTGACGTTCGAATAAATGGCAAATGCGAAAGGATAAATCCTACAGACGTTATTTAATAGATCCATCACTATTACTGGGACAGGTAGGCCAAGACTCCATTCAGGTCCAACTATGATAGAGAAAGCTACTATATTTTGAAACGAAAACACGTCAAATTAATCTCAACAAAGCAAAACATCAATGTCTCAATAATTGGGATGGGAGGTAATGAAGGTTGTCAGGAGGAATTAGGACTAAGTATATTCCAATTTTAAGAATCCAACAATCATGATACAACAATTAACAAGACATGCCTTAGCTCGTTGGAGTCAGAACTATATATTGATCTGTTCTTTCCGAAGAAAGGCATGAGCTCCAAGTTAGAAACTTAATCCACATATCACATTAAGCAGGGACAAAAGAGCTGAAGTAGAATGAGCAACCCACATGTCCTAGTTATACCTTATCCAGAGCAAGGCCATATAATTCCTCTAATGGAGCTTTCACAATGCTTGGTAGGTTATGGTATCAAAATCACATTTGTGAACACAGAACACAATCAAGAGCGTATCGGGAATGCATCGGCTTGGAAGATGAAAGGTCATATAGGAGATTTAATACATCTAGTTTCATTTTCTGATGGTCTGGAATCTGCAGAAGATAGGAATAAGCCAGGAAAAAGATCTGAAACATTCCTGAGGCTTATGCCAAGAAAAGTAGAGGAGTTAATCGAAAGGATTAATGCATCCGACAGTAATAAGATCAGTTGCATCCTTGCTGATCAGACTATTGGATGGGCCTTGGAACTTGCAGAAAGGAAGGTGATCAAGCGAGCTGCATTTTGTTCTGCTTCAGCTGCAATGTTAGTCCAGGGATTCAGCATCCCAAAGCTGATCGAATATGGAATGATAGATAGGAAGGTCAGTTCTTTCAATTTGTTCCTGAAGTTATGCTCTATCCAATTTTACTAACAGTAGCACTTGAAGATTCCCTGGTATTTTATTAGGATAGAAAAATCGAAAGTAATAGAAAACGCATGCTATCTTAGAATTCTAAACAGACTTACGTCAAATATTCAATTATTTGCCCAATTTTTAGCTGTATGAATCAGAAAATCATGCAACTGCATCACGAATGAATTTTTCTTTGCAGGAACCCCAACAACAAAGCAGACAATTAATCTTTCACCAACCATGCCAGCAATTAACTCAGCACAGTTTGTGTGGGCTTGTCTTGGCAACTTGAATTCCCAGAAATTATTTTTTGCACTAATGGTTAAAAACATCCAATCCATGAAGCTAACAGACTGGCTACTATGTAACTCAGCTTATGAACTTGAGCCTGGAGCATTTAACATTGTTCCACAGGTCATTCCAATAGGACCACTTGTAGCAAGCAACAGATTTAGAGATTCAGTAGGAAGCTTCTGGCCAGAAGGCTTAACATGTTTGGAATGGCTAGATCAGCAGCCACAACAATCAGTTATCTATCTTGCTTCTGGAAGTTCAACTGTTTTAAGCCCTACTCAGTTCCAAGAATTGGCTCTAGGATTGGAGCTGATCAATAGACCATTCTTATGGGTCGTAAGGCAAGATATAACCAATGGAAAAAATGATGCCTTTTTTAAAGAATATAAAGACAGAGTGAGCCCTCAGGGCAATATAGTTACATGGGCACCTCAACAAAATGTGTTGGCACACTCTTCAGTTGCTTGCTTTGTGAGTCACTGTGGATGGAACTCTGTCATTGAAGGTGTTTGCAATGGGGTACCTTTCTTGTGCTGGCCTTACTTTGCTGACCAGTTCTTTAACCAAAGCTAAATTTGTGAGATTTGGAAGGTTGGATTGGGATTTAGCACCGATGAAAACGGGATAGTGCCAAGAGGAGAAATCAAGAACAGGGTAGAGCAACTGTTGAGTAGTGAAGAGATTAAAGCAAGCGCATTGGAACTCAAGGAAATGGTCATGAATAGCATCAAAGAAGGTGGTAGTTCTTGCCAAAATTTCAAGAAATTTATTGAATGGATCAAGACTTAGATGGTTTCTTTTACAGCCATTATCATTATAATTTGTCTTTGTACTAAAGATGGATTTGTGTGTTTGCCTCTGTTCTCTGTTATTGCTTTTGTTCAAAATCTAAAATAGATAGAAAACATGTAGTGTGGCATTATCAAGTAGATGCTCTCGTTCTTAGTTTTAGATGACTCCTTCAAAATTACAATAGCATACAGCAATATAAGATCAAGTTATTCGAAGGTAGTATAGTTTGAACTGCTAAAAGGAAAGAATCAAGACCAATTATCGCTAAGAAAGCTAGTATTAAAAAAAAAAAAAAAATGAAAGTCCATCGAATTAAGGAAACACAAGGCCAAGCGATTCCTCTAATGGAGCTTTCACAAAGCTTGGCATATCATGGATTCAAATCACATTTGTAAACGCAGATTCTACTCATGAGCATATCATGACGGCATCAACAAAGATAATACAGGGGATCGAAATCAAATACATCTTGTTTCAATTGCGTAGAGACTCGATACCGCTTTTAATTGCTATTTCTCATGTTTAACTTGGTTCTAATACTAGTGTTAAGTGCTATTAGATAATAATAAAAAAATCATTCTATTAATTCTTGTGTTTTCTATTTGTAAATTCAATAGAATTAGATAGAAGTCCTTATGATATAGATTTACAATAATGATTGATCGAAAAATATGAGATAAACACTAATATATATAAATGATATCATTAAACGTCCCAAGTCATAGAATTGCCAAGAATGAACCTTAACTATATACGGATAGACTTGTGAGTGTTATGCTCATGTTATATGATAGTTGTAGAAGATCTCACACTTATTGGTATGGTGATGCCAAAGTGAACACTTTGATGATTCATGTTAGATAACATATCATTGGAGTTAAGTCACCATGAGAACACATTTAGTTTTAGTCTATGGGAATCTCATACGAGATAGGTGCAAATGATCATTAGACTTGAAGTCATCACGGTTGTCTCATTAGAGGACTTATGCACTTTGATACTCGTTTCGATGGACCCATTAAAGGGTTACGGGTGGGTTATTCGTTGGGTGCACTAGGAGTTTAATGGAGGTAGGTGTATGACTAAGATAAAACATGTCATTCTTTGTATGCTAAAGGAGTTATCACATTGTACTTTGATAAATGTCTATTCAAGAAATATATGATCATAGTAGGAGTACATCAATAGAGTATAGTTGATTTACTCTAAGAGCTAAGATATTTGGGAATCGAAGAAAACTTGTGTGATCATAATCGAACAAGACTTATAACCAAGTTTGAGATCACACTTGTGATAAATTGACATGAGGACTAAATTGTATGGTAACCATGCTCATGAAAGGTAATAATGGGTTAATTAATTCTCTTAGAGAATTGGATAACCATGATGCCTTACTAAAGGCCAATCTTGATCTATGTATCAAGAGATAAAAGAGGAGTCTAATGTTCTTAATACATTACCAACATATCTAAGAGCCTATCGAGTCACACACATAAGTTTAAGTATTTACATAATGAATAAGAAGCAAAGATATTGGAAAAAGTTTTCAATCTTGAAAGTTTTCTGTTTTGGAAAGGGTTTCCAAAATGAAAAGTTTCCTTAATTAAGAAGTTTCCTATCTTAGAAATCAGTTTCTTAATTTGAAAGATAGTTCCAAATTCGAAAATAAATAACCTAAAATGAAAATGAGTTTCTCGATTTAGGTTAAAGGGTATTTTGAAAAATTATTTTCTAATGTAGACTCGTCTAAAATAATCTTAGATTATTTGCTTGGATAGTCCAAATAAATTAATTAGGCTAGAGAATTGGATAATCATGATGCCTTGCTAAATGTCAATCTTGATTTATGTATCAAGAGATAAAAAGAGGAATCTTATGTTCTTGATACATTGCTAATATATCTAGAAGCCTATTGAGTCATACGCATAAGTTTAAGTATTCACATAATGAAAAGAAGCAAAGATATTGGAAAAAGTTTCCAATTTTGAAAGTTTTCTGTTTTAGAAAGGGTTTGCAAAATGGAAAGTTTCATTAATTAGGAAGTTTCCTATTTTAGAAATCAGTTTCTTAATTTGGTAGCTCCAAATTTGAAAATAAATAACCTAAAATGGAAATGAGTTTTCTAATTTAGATTAAAGAGTATTTTAGAAAATTATTTTCTAATGTGGACCCCCTAAAATAATCTCGGATTATTTATTTGGATAGTCCAAATAACTTAATTAGGCTAGAATGATTTTGGCCTATTAGGTTTAATTAAAAGCCTTAAGATATTTGGTAGAAGCATAAACATCAACCTTATTGGATAAGGATGAATGTTTTAAAAATAATGATCAAAAGTCCGGATGTAAAATAACTCCTCATCTTTAGAGGATAAGGAAGTAATAACCTAGAGTCCTTTAGAGACTCATTATTGCCCCGAGGACAAGGAAACTCTCCTATAAATATATAGAAGAGATGGAGGTACGGTAACACAAGAAGGGGAAAAAAAGGAAAAAGAGGAAAAGAGTGGAAATTCGACTAGAATAAAAAGGTCACTTGAGGACATGGCAAACACCAAAAATAAAAGGAGAAAATAGTTTTCTCCTAAAACCCTATCATGCCATACTCTTTCTTCTTTTTAAGATTGTCGCAAAATTGCCTAGAAAAGGATTTCTATAAGAAACACTACACAAAAATTAGAAAAGGTAGAGCTAGCATCCTATCGATTTTGAGTGCTTCTTTGTGGATACATAGACTGCGTGGATCATCAATAAAGGCCAAATACTTAGATGATTTTTCCGATAAAAGAATTTAGATTTATGCTATAAAAGGTAATTCTTTATTCATTACTTTAAATTCATGCATGTATGGTTAATAGATTCAACATGATTGATCTTAAGCCTTTAGATGGAGGAAATTTTTTATTTATTTATTCCGCACCTCCATCGGATGCATGATCCTTCGAGATTACCCAACAAATAGATAGTTATAGCACTACTAATTCATGAACATTCTAACTTAAGATCTTTCCTTATAGGAACCCCAATAAACAACTAGAAAATAAAGCTTTCAACCACCATGCCGAAATGAACTCAACGAGACTTTGTATGGACCTACTTTGGCGACATAAACATAAGGAAAATTATTTTAAAACAAGGCTCCATATGTTAGGCGGAAAATAACTTCCATAGGAAAATCAATTCCTAAGAAAGCTATTTTATAGGAAAATGTTTTCCAAAAAAATATTTTCTATCGTTTGGCAATTACATGAAAAAACTACTAAAAAATATATTTTAGCGTTTGTTTGATATAAAAAATTAAAATACAAAAATAGCATATGATTGTTACATCAACAAGTTTTGAGAAAGCTTTAAAAAAAAAACATATTCATAATTTCACATTATAAGATACATTTAAAAAAAATTTAATAAATTTTCATAAATACCGACTTTAAAATTTTAATTCAAAAAAAATAAAATATACTTTTTAATCATCAAACCAATTCATCAAAATTACTTGGGACAAAATAAAGTAAATATTCACATTTAGTAAAAAAAAAAAAATCTAAGTAATCCTAGCTTTATTATTTTGGTAACTCAATTAAGAATTCTTTTTTTTTTTTTAGAAATTGAACTAATAATTTAGTCTAAAAAATAATTTTATAAATTATTAGTTATCATTTATAGATAAATATTCATTTGGTTTCAAAAGATCAATGTTGGAATAATTTATAACTAATTATTCACTATAATTACCAATAAAATTTTACAACTGATTAAAATTATAAATTATTGATTTAGTTGCAAGTGAATAGTATTAAGAAAATAATATATTTATTAATGAATTAATTAATGTCAATTTTTTTATAAAAAATTATAGTCTTGTAATAATCATTTGTAGATAATTATTCATTTGGTTTAAAAAAATTAATGTTGGAATAATTTATAACTAATTATTCACTACAATTACCAATAAAATTTTATAACCGATTAAAATTAAAAATTATTGATTTAGCTGCAAGTGAATAGTATTGTGAAAATAATTTCTTTATTAATGAATTAATTAATGTCAAATTGTTTATAAAAAATTACAATCTTGTAATAATTATTTTCAATAATTTAAGTATAGTGTAAGTGGTGTTTGAGATATTAGTAAAAAAAAAGATAAATTATTTAAATATTTATTATAAAAATAATTTTAAGATGTAAAAATAGTTTTTAAGAATATTTAATGTATTTATAAATCAAAAAATCAAATATTAGTAGAAATAGAGAAAAAAATTAAATAATAAATAATAATTGATAAGGAATTATTAAAAATTAATTTGATATATTTTAAATAAAAAGAACAGAGAGAAAAATTATTAAAATATATCAAGAGAGAGGTAAGTAACGTGAGAGCGAGATAGCTCATGAGAAGTAAAATATTTTCCTCTTTTTAAACTGAAAAAACATTTTTTAAAAAATACTCTATCATTTTTCGTTGACTTATTTCCGAAATGTGAAACAAACATTAAAAAATGAGAAAAACAAGCTCATAAAACTTATTTTCCCTCAAACAAACACAACCCAAATAGCTAGAAACAACGAATACATAAAGTTAGCAATCCGGGTGTTATGCGGCTCAACGTATGAACTATAACTTGGAGGATTTGACTTTGCTCCATAATAGTTCCACTTTTAGCAATTAATAGACTTGGAGATTCAGCAAGGAACTTTTGCCAAAAGACTTAACATTTTGGAATTGCTTGATCAACAACCACCATAGTTAGTCATATATATTTGTTAAGAGAAGAAATCAATTTGGGAAAGTTATTCCACTATATTCAATAATGTTTCTATACAAGAATACTTACAATATTTATACATCATGAGCTCTAATCCTCTACTTCTCACCTAACTATATACATGTCTATCAAGCTATACATAACTCGTATAACAAACTTATACGAATTGGATATACAACTAGAAATATAATAAATAAATCTTTAATGCTCCTCCTCAAGTTGGTGATTTATACAAGTCATAAACTTTCAATTTGGACATAAGGTATTGATATTGTTTACTACCAAGACTCTTAGTACATGTATAAGTAATTTGCTCTCTTATCTTAAAAAATTTAGTCTTGATTAGTTTTTCTTTTAGTTTCTTACAAACTAAATGGCGGTTTATCTCTATATGCTTAGTCCTTTTATGAAAAACTAGATTTGAAGTAACATGTAAAGTAGCTCAATTATCATAATTTACTTCATTGCGTCTAAATCTATGTAGTTTAATTCTTTCAACATACCAAACAACCATATCACTTCATAAGTGGTGAAGTCCTATCTCAATATTCTACTTTAGTTAAAGATCAAGAGATTATGTTCGTTTTTTTGTTTTGCACGACAATAAAGAATTACCAAGAAAAACACAAAAACCTATCAAAGATTTTCTTGTCATAGGATAAGATGCCCAATTGGAATCATAAAAAACTCTAAGTCTTATAGCACTTAAAGAAGACAAGCAAGATAACAAGGCCTGGATTGCCTTTTCGATAGTTAAAGTATCCTTATAGTTGAGTGCATGTGAGATACTTTTGGTTGGTGCATAAATTGGCTAAGGATCCGGATAGCATAACAAATGTCAAGTCTTGTTACTCGTTAAGTAACACAATTTTCCAACCAACTTTTGATATTCGACGAGATTAGGCAAAATTGCATTTGAGCACTCATTGTGAATTGCTTCATCAAACCGAATAGTGGTGACCTTCGGTGTTACTGCTCTAGAGGTATTTCTACTAGTTTTGCACCAAGCAATCCTATATCTTACAATAACTCCATAGCGTATTTCATCCGGTCTAAACAAATTTCCTCCTTTGACTTAGTAATTTCAATTCCCAAAAAATATTTTAAGTATCCCAAGTTTGTGATATAAAAGCTATCATCCAAGAACCTTTTCAGCTCGTTTATCCCTTCCATATCATCTTTTATGATCATAATATCATCTACATAAACTAGAAAAATAACTCTTTTACCTTCTATGTGTTTTATAAACATTGAGTAGTCAAGTTTAGACTCGAAGAAACCCAGTCGCAACCATTTTCTTAATAAACTTGGAGTTCCATTGTCGCGAGGCTTACTTTAAACCATAAAGATACTTGAGCAATCTACATACAATATTCTCTCTTTGATTGTTATGTCCAAGAGGTAAAGTCATATAAACTTCCTCATGTAAGACTCCCTGCAATAAGGCATTAGTAACATCCAGTTGGAAGATAAGCCGGTCATGAATAACGACTAATAGAATCATAATTTTGATAGTAACCATTTTCACTAATTAAGAAAAGGATTCTCCATAGTCAATACCCGCTTATTGAGTATATCCCATAGCCTATAACCTAGGTTTATACCTCTCTACACTACCATCGAAATGAAATTTGACTTTGTAAGCCCATTTATAACCAATATGTTTCGACCTAAAGGAAAAGGAACTAGAACCCATGTTCTATTTACTTCAAGTGGTTGGATTTCCTTGGATATAGCTTCTACCCACTTAGGATTCTTAATGGACTCTAAATAGGAATCAAGTTCTCTAATATGAGAAATAGAAGCTAAAAAAGCTTCATAAGAAGGAGAAACAAAAAAGAAAGAGAAGGAGTCCGAAATGGAGTACTTAGCAATACGAGAAAAGGAAATATGGTTGATTGAGGTAAAGTAGGGCGGTGATAATCATGAGTTTAGATTGGATGTTTAGAAACTCTAGAAGATTTTCTTAGAGGAATGAGTGTAGAAATAATTGATTGGGGAAGAGTAAGAGCAAAAGGAGAAGGAACAAATGTATGATCGCCGAGTGGGATATGAATTAGGTGTAAAACTGGACGAAAAAGAACGTATAGAAAAAGAGGAAATAGTCATGGCATATGGTAACGAGTCATCATCATATGGTCAATGAGAAATAGGAGTAGTAGGAACAGAATTTGAATTTGGATTAGAGGAAAACGAGAGAAGATTTATAAGGAAAATGGATTCATGAAAAGAGACATCATGAGAAATAAATATATGATTATCCTATAAATCCATGACTTTATAACCCTTTTACAAGTAAGGATATCCCAAAAATAAGTAAGCTTTAGAACAAAGAGCAAATTCATCAATACAAGGTAGGACTTTGGCATAGCATAAGCACACAAAGACTTTAAGATGAGAAATGGTTGGAGGTTTATGAAATAAGACTTCAAAAGGAGTTCTACCACGTCAAAGTGGTGTAGGAGTTCTATTTATAAGATATGTAGATGTCAAAACACAATCCCCTTAATATTTAATAGGCAAATGGGATTGAAACATAATAGCTCGAGCAAATTCAAAATGTGTTTGTGGTTTCTCTCCACAACACCATTTTGTTATGGAGTGTAAGTTATAATGGCTTCTTGAATAATACCCTTAGAAGAGAAAAAATCTTGATAGGATTTTTGTAAGAACTCAAAACTCTTATTAATTTGACTTTTTTAATATGACAAGAAAAGCGTGTAAGGACCGGAGCATAGAAATGTTGTAGTAAGCTGAAAGGCTTAGGACTCATGTTGCATAAAAAAGGTCTAGGTCCCTTTAGAAAAGTCATCGACAATGAAAAAGAAGTATTTCTCTTGATTGTATGTAGAATGTTTATAAGGACCTCAAATATCAATATGAAAAAGCTCAAAAATGCAATAAGAAATAGATGTACTTAGTGGAAAAGGTGGTCTTGTTTGTTTAGCAAGAGGATAGATTTCACACAACATATAAGCATTAGTTGTTGAAATACCAAGAATCATATTAAGCCTAAAAAAAGAAATATGTTCAAAATGTTTATGCCAAAGTGCTATATTATTTGAAATAGATGATGATTTACAAGCGGTTGTATAACAAGAAGTTGGAAAAAAATAGTCTACACAAGTAGTAACAAATCGAGAATGGAAAAATGTTTAACAAAAGGGAGTTGATTGTGAAACTAGACGGAATGACTTTGACATGACATGATAAAGATCATCTCTAACTTTACAAATTCTCCTTGTCTTTCCAATTGTAAGGTCTTGAAACGGACGGAATTATAGATAGAATGAAGCAAAACAATTATTGTCAATGGTAAATTTAGCTACGAAAACAAATTGAACTCGAAATCAAGAATGTATAAGACATACTGAAGAATTATTTATGAAAAAGAAACAGATCCTGTATGAGAAATCCGAGTTTTAGTGCCATTAGGTAATCGACAATGAAACTAAAAATCAATTTTGTAGGATTTTCTAAGCAAGTGAATGTACCAATCATGTGAAAATTAGCTCATACGTCTACTTTCCATTCATCAATAATAGATTTAACATCAATAAGACTACAAGAAAACCTCAAAAATAAGCTATTAATAATAACAAATAATTAGTTTAACTAGTTTATTTATTTATAAGGGAGACTATGAGAGATGAGGAGATGCCAAAAAAAAAAAAAGAGAGCTTATAAACTCAGGGAATATAATATGAAATTAAGGAGAATTCATCAGACCTTCAATAGATTTCTTCTCATCTGAAAGCTGAGTAATAATGCAGATAATCGCTGCCAATAGTGACTTAGGGTTTCTTCTTATATCTATCTCTTCAGATTTTTCAACAGCTTCTTGCACAGCCTTCAGGGGATGCCTTTCATGCCGAGATTGTAACAAAACCTCCTCACAAGTTCGCTGGTATCTGTGGCTCCCATGTCCAACCCTAGTTGTTTCCTTATAAGTTGTGCAGCTTTATTAACTTGTTTCATTGTAAATCCAAATGTAGCGCTACGTATTTCCTTCAATGTCCTCAGCAACTTATTCTCTCGACAAGCAATAAACAAACAAGCCGTCGATAATGCTTGTTGGTTCTTTACCGTTCGAGATTTTTGTTCTTCCATCTTCGTGAGGATCTCGTTAGCCCTAACCCTAATTGCCTCGACAATGTTTAACCTGTCTGCCATTGTATTGATGGCACGAAATCCATGGAAGAGAGCCTTATCCGGGTCTTGTTCACGAATATGCAACTTCAAAATATCATTCTTTGAACCTTTAGAGGCAGAGATAAACGTTGAGAGATTAATACCACTAGATAAAATATTGGATGACTCGTCAACACGATTCGGATCTTTGTTACTGCTGCCGTCGGAGAATATTCGCCATTCGGAAACTTCATCAATGTAATGGGACTCAAGAACAAGGCCACAGTCTGCAAACTGTGTCCCCAGATGAGTGATCAAATGCAACTACAGTGTTTTTCTTGCAGTCACCACAGAAATTCAAGTCTTCCATCGATCATTAGCAAGCTAGCTTGTTCTCTCTATCACATGGGAGAGCTAACGTTCTGGTTTCGCCCTTTAATTTAATGGAGTTTTATTCTCTAACGCTCTCTTGTGTAATGTTTTGTAGTAAAACTATCAATTTTGTTAATTGCTTGAAGGGAGTTTATATATATATATATATATATATATATAAACTAGAATTAATTTAAAATGTTTTTAACAAGGATTAGAATTTGAAAGAAGACGAAGACAATATAACAGCCACAAAACTATATCTTTTTTTACTAGTGTAATCAAAATTTCATTAGTTTTCTAATTAAAAACGTAGCATTTTTTCCCCATGTTAAAAAAAAAAAAAAAAAAGGGAGGGGGCTAGAAATTAAGTTTTTGCCAAAAGCTTTATTATATATATATATTGGGTTAGAGTAACAAACTCTTATTAACTATCTTGAACTTGTTTAATAAGTCCACCCCTAGTAATTAAGTTTCCTTGTAGAACCCAAAATCTGAAAAAATAAATCTTTATTAATATTTATGCTATCTCAAAATATGAAAATATAGTGTTTCCACTTATTTTTTTTTAAAAAAAACAACACTGATCCTAAGAGTTTTGGCTAAGAAGATTGTGCTTACACAATTGAAAAAAACTACGATCATTTTAGTGTACATTCCCTTCATAATGAGATTATCATATATTTCTAATCTAAAAATATTTATTTATGAAAGCATATTTTTATGTCCTTTTTTCTATTATGAATTGATTATTGTGCCTTTTGTAATAAATTTTAGATGAAGTGATTTGGAAATTAAAAGAAAATTCAATATTTCACTCGTAGTTGTCATTGGGCTATTAAATCTCAATCAGAATGTAGAAGTCAAGACATAAAACTCATTTGTAAATTAAATAACTCAAATTCGAACAAAAAATATAAAATAAAAATAAGTTTAGACCTTAGTTCTAAGTTCACTTGCCAAACTATAAAATAATAATTACAAGTTCAAAAGTCGCTAATAGAAAAAATAAAAAATAATAATAAGAACACGAGACCTTAAGCCAATATCAACAAACTATGTCACTTAAAAATAATGAAATTGGATATGAGACCCAATATAAAATTTAGAGCTAAATTTGTAAGAATGTAAAATTAGTGGCACTAGCAAAATAAAATAAAGTAAAAATAAAAAAAAGATAATAAAAAATAATAATAACGAGAAAAAGATAAATCATTGGACAAAAATTAATGTCATATCCTAGACCTAGACACCTAGACCAAGATGATGGCAAGTAGACATGTAATGAAAGAAATTATAAGCAAATCAACCATGCAAGATAATATATGTTGATGACTATATAGAAATTACAATAGCCAACTTTCTTCTAAATGGTCCTTGGTATATCAAAGTTATTAGTATCATAACCATTTTCAACCTTCAAAATTTCATTATAATTTTTTTATCAAAAAAAAAAAAAAAAAAAACACATGTTGCTAAGTTTCTAGATTTTTGGTAATTTTTTACACATGATTTTAAATGATACTAGCATTTTTATACTTGATTTGTGAGAAAGCAGTTGAAAAATAAAGGAACAATAATTGGAAAAATAAAATAAATCTAGAAGAAAAGTAGAAAAAACTAGAATAAAAACAATAGAAAAAACCAATGCAAAGCTGAAAACAAATAAAGAGAAACAACCAAAAAGAAAAAAAGAAAAGAAAAGGAGAATTAAAGAAGAAGAGACATAGGGTTGCAATTGAAATTATAAAACAATGAGGATTGAAAAAAAAAGAACAAAAATCATCAATTGAGGGATGCAATCGAGAGAAAGAAGAAGAAGAAGAAGAAGAAGAAGATCGAAATAAAAAAGAAAATAAAGCTGAAAAAGGAAATGAAGAATAAAAGAAGAAAAAATATTGGGGCATAATCTACATCATCAAAAGAATGAGGATAAAAAAGAATTAAATCAAAAGAAAAATCACCATTTATTAGGGATACTATTGGAACAAACTAAAAGTAGAGGATCGAAACAAAAAATATAGAAAACATAAGGGACTGAAAACTTTAACTAATCCAAATAGCATCATTTAGAGGGAATAGAAAAAATATATATACCAGCATACGGCAAAATGACCTTATTAGGCCCTGTTCATGCTCCTTTCTCACATAAACACTTCTTTTTTCAGTTTGGTTCTTTTGTCTTCAACCTACAAAACAATCTCCAAAACTCTCTTCCCCTCATACCTATCCCAAAATATACGTCTTACAACCCCTCTTTAAGTGAAATCAATTTTCAGCAATAAAATTTCCTTCCTGCACCAAAAAAAAAAAAAAAAAAAGTTGCTCTCTCTCTCTCTCTCTCTCATGTTTTCATTAATGGCACAAAATTATAACCCTTCATTCATCAGATCCAAAGCGAGGGCTAAGATGCAAAGATAAAATAAGTTAAAAATACTAGGGTGAGGAGAATAAAAAAACAAAATACAAGCATAAGTAGAGTAGGAACTTAAAAAAGTTTACTTAGCTTATACAACGAGCATTGGCTCAATAGAGGGGAGGATTTTTTTGAGAGAGAAAAAGAAAGAAAAAATACAAATAGAGAAAAAAAAACAGTAAGCAAAACAAGATAGAAAAAAGGGAAAGAAAAAAAAAGGAAAGGAGTTTTTTTGGAACATTTTTTTTTTTCAGAAAATAAATTTATTCCACCACACCTCTTCCATCCATTGTCTCCTCCTTATTCTTAGTTGTTTATTCTTTAACTCCTTCGTTACCTCATAGCTTGGGATTTAATTATTTAGTTAGTTTGAGTTTTTTTGGTTTCTTTGCAAGTTGTTCTTTGTTAAAGTTTTGGTATGTATTATGGTGCTTTAACCATGGTTATATCATATAGGGTTTGGGTTTTGTTGGGCGGGAGAAAAATTTATTGGGAAAAGAAACACAAAACATAGCAAAACATCTTTACCCTTACTTGAACAATCAAATAAAAAAAAAAAACTAATAATCTGAAAGATTGAATACCAATTACACAAAAAAAAAACATATAAATTTTACGTGAAAAACCTTCTCAATTTAAAAAGAAAAAATCACGAGATCGGAATCTACAAAAACTTTCATTATCAATAATAATAGACAATACAATGAGTCCTCTTTAAATTAAACTAGATGAATACATTAGCCATAAGCATCAACGATTACACACCCTTGGCAAACCTCATCAATAAATGATATACAAAGGAAAGGAAAAAAAAAAAACTAAGTTCAAATTTCACTAGAAAACATCACTTTCACGAGCATCATATCTCACACTTTAGGAATCAAAATTAGATCTTCACCGTTCAAAATATGCGTCTATCTCTCCCAAATGCACTCATCAAATTTAAGCTCAATCGAATGGCTAATGTAACCCCCATGAAAATTCTTGATCATATATATATACGTATCGGAATATTCATATATATATATATATACTAAGGATGGGTGTGATGTATGTGACATATTAATTTTTTTTTTTTTTTTTTTGTGTGGTATGAATATATATGGTGGTTATAGGAAGACTTTAGTGTTAGTATAAGATTTTAGGGGGACAAATTTTAGGTAAGTTAGTTAGTTATTTATTTCCTTTAACACCTATCAAGAAAATGCCATGAAATGGGAAAATTATCTAAATAAATGGAGAGGCCCAAAGGTTTTGGGGAATGCCAAAATTCTTGACTTAAAATACATTTAAGATCATGTTTAAGTCCATAACCCATCCTTAAAATTCGACTTGACACCTAAGCTTCTTCATTCTTCCATTTGAAGGACACCTCATCACTTTGACTTCCAAACCCGCCACCTAGCCTTCCATTATCTCCCATCACTTTACACCTTATCAACTTAGTTTAGGACACTTGTTAATGTATTTAATGAAGGAAGAAAGTTGGAAATATATATAAGAGAGAGCTAATGGCCGGCCACATTTTGGAAATTTTAGCTCAACAAAAATTGAGAAAACCGAATTGAGAGAGAAAAACGAAAAAGAAAAAGAGGAAAGAAAGAAAGAAGAAAGGAGAAGAAAAGACTAAGGGATTTTCTCCTAACTTTGAACTAAGTAAGTAGGTTTTCTTTTATGTCCTCCAATGTTGTTTTTATGTATTTAATTTATGTGAGCAACTTGAGACATTAGTTATGTTGTTATGAGTTGCTTGTGTTGGTATGATGTGTTGATAGTATGATGTGGATCTACTTGTTGGACTTGTGTATGTGATGAATTGTTGAAGCCTATTAAGCTTTGTGTATGTCCAAGAATGTGTTGATAGGGTTGGTATAAACAAAGAGGCTTGGATCGAAATTTGGTTGAATTAAACTATGGTTGAGATGGACTTGGAAGGAATGAGTTTCTAGGGCATGTTTTAGGAAACCCATTCGGCCTAAATGTCAAAAAGGGAAAGATTGGACCTTTTATATAATTAAGAACCTAGGACTTAATTGTCACTCACCTAGGTATACATTAGGATGAAACAAAACTCTATTGAAATGAAAGAAAATTCCTTGCCACGTTTTGGGAACCATTTGGCCTAAACCTTAATTTTTGGGATTTGAGTTCCACTCATCCAAATTGATAATTAATGGTTCAATTAGACCAAAATATATATAAATTGAAGTCTAGAAAGGTTAGACTTCAAGGAAAATAAAAAATTCAACTTAGACTGGTTAAAAGCTAAATTCGGCCATCCATGCCAAAATACGAAGCTAAGAGAGAGATTCCACCTTCGATGCAATTTAAATTGGACCGTAAGGGTAAAATCTATGTAAACTAAAAGTAGGTCAAATTTAATGAAAAAACTAACTAATTACATGAAGAAAGGTACTTACATACGAAGTAAAGTTTAGGTCGAATACAAATTAGTGATAATTGTTCTTTAGATGGATACTATGTAAACGATATGAACTATATCTAAAATCTTATACGTAGATTGAATTCCAAGCATCGGTTGAGAATATAGGGTTTGATAACCATGATTGCGTGAATGTGAGAATTAAAACATCATGTGCATCATATGCATTCGGGGGATGATTAAATTGAATTGAGAAAGAACATTTGATTGAGATTTGATGAGGTTTGGTAACCGAACTGGATTAAATGGGTATTAGCAATGAAGTCGTGTGCGTATTCTATTAATTGATTACACCGTTAAGAGATGGATAATCCTGCGGATCATTTTTTACAATGAGAGATAATTTTTTTGTTAGCGAGTATATGATTCGATAATCATCGAGAGATGAAAATAGAGCGAACTTGCAAATACCTAGGGTACCCAAACTAAAATTGTTGGGAAAAGGAAAAGTAGTAGGAAA